TTTGGCAGGGTAGGGGTTTTCGGATGTCCTGAGTTGATTGGTAGGGTTGCATTGGCCCGATATGGCCTAGATTGGGGAGATCTTGAAGGGTAGTGGTTTGATCAATTTGGGGCTTCAAAATGGAATCTTGGTGCGATGAAGGGGCAAAGAAAGGTATTTTGGGTTGAAATTTTACAGGTGAGTATTTTAAGGTGTTTTTGATCTAGTGGTAATGTTTGATTAGTTCAGGGGGTTAAGATCATAGGAATTTGGATCAATGAGAGAATTTGGAACAAAATCTTGGTTTGATAGAAGGGTAAATGTGGGAATCTTAGGTTAAAACTTTATAGGTAGGTGTTTGGATCAAGGGGATCTTGGTTGCGGGTGTTTTAGACTAACGAGAGGGGTCAAAATAGAATCTCCGCTTGATGAGAGGGTAAATGGAGGACTTTTGAATTGAGATTTGCTGGATAGGTATTTTAGGTCTTGAGTCTGATAATGGTGTTTGATCTAAGGGTTGAGGTGTAAGTGGGGGTTGATCGAGGCCATCGAATTGGTATTGAGTAGGTTTAATGGTGGATTTGAAGGTCTTTTAGGCTGAAAGTTGGGTTTTTTTTTGGTATTTTGGCATTTTGGAGTGATTGGAATGGTCTAATCAGGCATTCAGGGTAAATTAGGGGTTCAAGCGGTGAACCAAGTAAAAATCGGATGTTAACACCACTCCATTCTACTATGGAGTATCAAAACATGACTCTAATGTATAACCCCAAACCTCCCAAAATATGAAACAAAATCCTTCTCAAAATATTCCTTAGTGTTGTATGATTGAAATATCTTGATGCGGATATCAAATTGGGTAAGCACAAATTCACGAAATTGCTTCACAAGTTTTGAGTTATGCATAAGGTAACGCTATGAATAACGTGAAAAATCATCAATAAACAAAATAAAGTGTTTATAACCTCTCATACAAGGTAAATGGTATATAAAACAAGATCCTTCTCAAAATATTCCTACGTATTGTCTGATCGGAATATCTTGATGCGGGTATCGAATTGGGTAAACACAAATTTATGAAATTGCTATACAAGTTTGAGTTACGCATAAGGTAACGCCATGCATAACGTGAAAAATCATCAATAAACAAAATAAAGTATTTATAACCTCCCATGCAAGGTAAATGGATATAAAACAAGATCCTTCTCAAAATATCCAAGTGTTGCTTGATAGGAATATCTTGATGCAGGTATCAAATTGATTAAGCACAAATTCATGAAATTGCTTCACAAGTTTGAGTTACACATAAGGTAATGCCATGTATAACGTGAAAAATCGCCAATGAACAAAATAAAGCATTTATAACCTCCCCTGCAAGGTAAATGGTATAGTCCCCACACATCAGAGTGAACAATATGAAAAGGAACTATGGATTTTTTTTATTACTTGTAGGATAAGAGTTTCTATAATGCTTTGACAACTCACATGACTCATAATGTAAACTTGACAATTTAATTTCCTTCAACAAAAATGGAAACGAAAGACTCAACCAAAAAAATATGACCAAAATGATAATGACATAACATAATATGATTGACTAACTTTGATAGATTAAAACCAAAAATAGTTTTCTAAGGTGATACATGACTTGGTTCAAGCACATCCAATAAGTATATCTCATTTAATATCCGACAGATATTGAAAATTAATATTCAAATTTGAATTTGATTAAAGATTCAAATATTCGATTTAGTTCAAACTTGACCAATTAATTATTTTAGGTAATTAATAAATATATAAAATAAATATTTTATTTACATAAAGTAAATAAATATATAAGTTATTTATATAATTTAAATTATTATATATAAAAAGTATATAAAACATTCAAATATTTTATATACTATATATAAGAATTAAATAATCGATCAAATTCAAATATTTATCGAATTGAATCATGTCGCATCCGAATTCGACATATTAGATATTTGAATTATCCAAATTCCATTTGATTATGTCGAATCTTGAATTCAAAATCATATTTTCAAATACCGTTGACACCCCTAGTTAGGAATGCAAACGGATTGGATTAGACTCAGATTAAGGTATATCTGAATCCAATCCAATGCTATTAATTGCAGATCCGATCCGATTTGAAGATCTGATCAAATCTCATAAACATGGATTTGAATTCAAATCCAATGAGAAAGTTGGACTCTGATCTAATTTGATTTTTAAAAAATAAATAAATTATTAAAGAAAAAAATATATAATATAATAATTTAAATAAAGAAAAAAATAATACAAGTATCTTTTCATACATATTCATGTTTTTATAAAAAATAATAATATAACAAATTTACAAATATAAATAACATATATATCCAATCCGAGGATCTGAATTGGGGCTATCCGAATCATATAGGATCAGACTTCATATTGGATTGGATCATGAACCGATCCATTTGCACCCCTAACTATAGCTCCAAGGTTTTTGTTAAATTACTAACTAAAAGTATGTTAGTATTTGATGTTTTCCTTTCTTGAGATAGAGGCAAGGGAGATCTTGTCTTAGCTAGATAAAAGCTGATAAGTAGAAAATAAATGGAACACACTAGTCATATGGTCAAAGGCACCATAAACATTTATCCAATGGATCCTATGATTACCAGAGATAGAAACATGTTTCATAGCAGCACGAATACTTGAATGGACACCGGTAGAAGAGGAACCATTTCCTAAAGTGTTGTCCATACTTCTCATACTTTGCCCTGGCAACAAGAAGTTGTTCCCCCACAAATTTCTCATCACTATAACCCTTTAAAACGTCAAAAGAGGTGGGGCTACATTGCCATTGTCACTCTTTCCAATCCCACTCTTCTTACCATTATTGTTGTTCTTGAATTTAGGAGGTATAACTTCTGGATGTTGCTTCTAATAGGTATCTTTTGTGTGCTTAGGTTTCTTGCAATACTCATATACTACATCTTTATTCTTAGTACTGACGCTTGGCTTCATCCCAACATTGGCAAAGTGATTCATTGAGACTTTTATAACTTGCACTTGTCTCCAACTCACCTCATTGGTAACCATGGCATAAGCTTGAGATAAGGTCACTTCATCTTTTGTTAGAATATTTTGTTTGACAAAATACCATACTCGAGATTGAGCCTAATGAGAAACCCAAAGGCCTGATTTCTCTCCATTAACTCCTTATGAGTCTCGGCATCTTTAGTACACTCCCACACAACAGTCTCCATCAAGTCAATCTCCTGCCAAATAGGTTTTAACATAAAGTAAACAACCAAAGGTTCCCCCCTATCTTAAATTATTGACACCATTCTTAAGTTTGTAGGCTCTGACATTCAACTTCTAGGAATAGGTCTCTGTAACACCATCCCACGCCTCTTCTGCAGTCTCCATCCCCAAGTAATGTTGATTGATATCAAGTTGCATGGAATTCACTAACCAACCTACTACAACGTAGTTCTCCTACATCCACTTGTTTCTTCTTGGTCCCGATGATGTACTACCATTTTCCCTCTACTACATACATAGATCTTTATAAACTAAGACCATGCCAAAAAATTGGTTCCATCCAACTCCATTGAGATTACTACCCCCAATAGAGTCTCCACAAACCCTCCTAAACCAAACCCAAAATCTGTGGAGTGTTTCATTTCACCTCTAGTTTGCTCTATTGGCCAAACAGAGACAAATGAAAATCAAAATAGGGTGTTACTAGTCAAGATTTATTGACCTAAGACCAAACTGCTCTTCAAACAACCAAATTAGGAATTTCATCTCACTAGACAAAGTCTAGCCACTCTTCCCAAGGCACCAGAAATCTTTCCAAGTTGGACCGATTTCAAAGACGATCAAAGTGCTTCTATTCTAGCTCCAAGCGCCACTTCTATACTCCCTTTGTAACCCTTAATATAAAAATTCTCCAATTAGCTAGGGTTTTTGGGAAACTCTCCAAGAACCTACCTTGGGCCCCAAACAAGCTCTGCAATCTTCTCCAAAAACCATCTCTAACTAGGCTGAATACTTGCTATTCAATTAGCCAATCAACCCTCCGTACAACCTATGTATGGGATTAAAGAGACCAAGTTGTAGAACCAACCTGCAATAATTTGAAATAAAAATAGGAAAAATAGAAGAGAAGAAAAAAGATTGCAGAAGTTGGAAGAGACAGAAGTAGTGGAGGAAGAAGTTGGAAGAAAAGGGAAGGAAGAGAGTAATTCGATCTCCGATCCCTCTCTCCAACACCAAAGATATCTTTTATTCTTTAATTGTAATCTGAGTACAATTCCATAAATAGCCTTAATACGGCAACCAACATTAAAACAATAATAAAAAAAACCAAAAAACAAACCCATAACTAAGGCCCACTACTTAAAAAACATAAACATAACTAAATAAAAAGAAGATACAAAGGCCCATTCGGCCCATTATCTCGACAAAGATAAGATACAAGCAGTGAGCAACATAAACATGGTCCCATCACCACATATCTACCGGAGGCTCAGGAGGTAGATTTAAGAGAAAAAATAAAGTAAAAGAAAATCCTACTTACGTACAAATATCTAGATGAAAAGTGAAAAAATAAGACGAGGGATTTTTCAAAATTGATTAAAAACAGAATTTAGGGATGAATGTTAAGGCAACTACGTTGGGTAGGAATATTATCGGTAGAAACTAAGGTCTCCGAATGTTGTGACTTCTGGGAGAGATCTCTCTAAGGAAAATTAACAAAAAAAAAAACTATGGTTTTATACAAATAGAATTAAAAAACTTATTAGATCTTAATTCTCCCATACTTCAAAAATTAATTGTTATACCCAAGCTCTTAAGGTTTTTTAAAAGGCTGAAAGAGAAATTTGAGAATATAAGTAAGAAGATAAAGACCTAAAATATCACTCGTATTTCTAAGAATCACTCTTAAGGTTTGGATGCATCACATGGCTACGAGTAAGAAAGAGCTTCAAATTTTCATTTATTCATTAACTTAGAATAAAGAATATAAAAAATATAAGGCTCACAACAATGTTTATTGAAATTATATAAACACCCTTACAAGCCAAAATCAGAGGAAAATGACTAATAATGTTTAACTATTCACCTAACTTCTATGAAACTTTAAATATTCCTTAATTTATACCACAAAAAAGACAACTAAAATACCCTTGCTAACCATAAATTAAAGAAAACAAAAAACTAACAAAATTATATAATTATGAGATTTATAGCCCATGCCTTAACTTCCCAAAGATGCATAAGCAACATTATGATCTCCATCACACTCTCCCTCTTCAAAACCAAGGATTGCAGACTGATGCCTGGAACTTTGAACAAAAACCTCAAGGCATGATTACATGTGATGATGTTACATTTCAAGAGGACTTCTACTTTTACTTGCAGACTGCAGAAACCAGGGAAATTTCAAACAACTCACCAAATTCACCATCTGCATAACTGGATGCCTATAAGTGGAAAGAACCTAAATTGTGGCCATGCCGCACAAGTCGCACTTGCCTTGCATCAACCCATTCTAAGCGGTAAGATAGATCAAGGTTATGGATCAAGAGCTTCAAACTATCTATATCACTCAACCCCCCTCTTTTATCCTGCAACAAAGAAAGACCACAAGGGGGTTATGCAAAAAAATTGCTGTTGCGAAACCTTATCAATCATGTGGTTGATGAGCAAGAGGAAACTTGTAGAAAAAGATGCAAAAAGATTGTATTGAAACTTGTAAGCAAAGTACAACCATGGGAAAAAAAAAGTAAAGAACTAAGAAAGCCCCAAAAAAATGTTTGATTTTATTACGGACGAATTTGGTATTTACATGGAGTAAAATTATTTCGTTCTTCTGTTTTCAAAATATTTGAACATATATGTCATCCAAAATGAAATAAACCAGAGAGAAGTTAATTTGTTGATACCCTGAATAACCTATAATGACATGATTCCTATTTTTATTAGTATTCCTGTGACTACTACTTTTTAGATGGTAAATTTGAGCCTTCAAATGCTTGAGGCAAATGACATATTCAAGCCCATACGATTCCTAAATTCCCCATAAAAGATTATATTGTTAGTCCACTTCTTCATTGGTTTTATCTGTGCTTAATGCTGAGAAAATTGTATTGCAGCCCTCCCCATAAAATTAGAGTCTTTTGACCTACTAGACAAGGGGCATTGTATCAATATCTCACAAGAATCAAGGGAACATTTATCAAAGAGGAGAATATAAACAGCTGTAGTTAAAGGAGAAATATCGCAAACATGTTCATGCGAGGATTCTTATTATATAACAAAGATGATGCACACATGGGAAAAGAAAATAAATTATGGAAAAATCAACTTCTCTAGACTCTCCAGTGGTGATCTCATAATTTCTGGGTTTTCTCTTGGTCAATTTTGGTTTCTATTTTGTGATATCTTTCTTAGACAGTGTATGCCCTTAGCTCCAATCAGATTGATGTACTTATGGCAATTATTGTAAATGAATAAACTGCATATTTGATTCATGTTATTGAGGTGTGTTTCTGTGTAATACCCTTAAACTGGACACATAATGAGACTCGTGTTAATTTAGAATGTTCACAGCCAGTGGGTCGATCTGGGGAGATCTATCCTGATAAGGTTGACACTGATGTGTCACCAAGTTGGTTGGGGTGGCCTGTCTCAGCCGCCAAGGTGAGACCCGAGGTACATGCAGTGTAGGTTTAACTTGAAACCTTGAACCAGACCAGAATTCCAGTGTTGCCCTGGACCTTGGTGATAAGTGGGCAAAACTGGAATGTTACACCTGACCCGTAGACTCGATTATGATACTACACTAGGTGTCAGATTGGGTTGTCTTTGATGTGTCAACCAGTGAGATCCTTAGAGGGGGTCAAAACCTGGGTATGTTGGGACAGTCTGAGAGTTCATCTGAGTGGGTGATCATTGTGACAGAATCAGCCCCTTTGTTGGACAAAGGTAATGATCGGGGATGCACTCTCTCTAATGGAAACCAAAACTGCCGGCAGTTGATTTCAATCGTTGAAATTTGTTTTTGCAAAATATATTTATATAAAGATATACATATATATTTTACGGTTTTTAAACGTTTGCAAAAAGGTTTTAATTCCCAGGATCCATGTGAGTAGAGAGTGCAACACTGTTCCTTGCAGCCGAGGGAGAGGTCCTCTCTTGTCGGACAGTGTTTGATCATTATGGGCTGAGAGG